GCAGTATCTCAAAGGTTCTCATTAGGTAGAATGTTGGGATTAAATTATTTTATTTAAATCCTAATAGCAATTCAAGCTAGCCCTCCACCACCACCAAGGCAAAAAAGGTCCATACATACTATTGAAAGACATTAAAAAAAAAAAGAAATGAAAAACATTTTATTTCTTTTTATCTTTTAAATAGTCTTACTTTTTTAGCATTTCAGAGACAGTGAAAATCTTTAAAACAATTAAGAGGAAAACTAGACTCTAAAATCAACTGCTCTTAAACATTAAGAACCATTCACCAGTGTACAATATTCTAGTTTAATCTAAATGTCCAGTGCTGGGCCTTTCCTAATAAAGAGACTTTTATGGGCGGCATGACAGATTAAACCCTGCTGTGCTCGGAAGCAGGGCATAAATCCTTGTTGTGGCTGTAGTCAGGAAGAGATGGGCTGGGCATCCTGCACCAGACTCACCACGTGCTCTTTAACAGGCCATGCGACTGCACGGTCTATTGTGACAAAAGGGAGGATTTTTTGTAAGTCCTAGTTTTCTGTCACACTATTTCTTTCAGATTGGGGAAGGCCCATCACTAGCTATTAGCAATTGAGTCTACCATCAAAGTTTTATGCTAAAATTCTGACCTGCTCCCTGCTGTTTCCAAAAAGTGTACTAAGAATGTGGTATTTCTAGTATAAGATCTACCATAAAATATTAGGTCTCAAAGGTTTCATTAGGTAGAATTTGGGATTAAATCGATTTTATTTAAATCTATAGCAATTCAAGCTAGCCCTCCACACCACCAAGGCAAAAAGGTCCATACATACTATTGAAAGACATTAAAAAAAAAAAGAAATGAAAAACATTTTATTTCTTTTTCTTTCTTTAAATAGTCTTACTTTTTTAGCATTTAGGACAGTAAAATCTTTAAAACAATAAGGGAAATGACTCTAAAATCAACTGCTCTTAAACATTAAGAACCTTTCACCAGTGTACAATATTCTAGTTTAATCTGTCCAGTGCTGGCCTTTCCTAATAAAGAGACTTTTATGGGCGGCATGACAATTAAACCTCCTGTGCTCGGAAGCAGGGCATAATCCTTGTTGTGCTGTAGTCAGGAAGAGATGGGCTGGCATCCTGCACCAGACTCACCACGTGCTCTTTAACAGGCCATGCGACTGCACGGTCTATTGTGACAAAAGGGAGGATTTTTTGTAAGTCCTAGTTTTCTGTCACACTATTTCTTTCAGATTGGGGAAGGCCCATCACTAGCTATTAGCACCCCTAGGTGTATACTTGATAAGTAAGCCTGTGGCATTTTTGTTTCAAGTGCATGTGTTTTCTTCATAAAGTCAGTACTGTTGAATGAATATACTATAATTTGTGCACCTGGACTCCAGTCCAGCTAGCACTAAAAACCCATTTCTTCAGAGAGATATAGTGAGGCTCAGTAGAGGATGTACTTGACTGTGATCCACAGATCTAACCAGCTTGGCGAGGGAACTAAAACTTAAAAATTTTTTTTCTCTAAGACTTAGGCCGTACCAAAGCCTTTTATCGAGAAAGGAAAAATGTTTTTTCTTCCCCTTTTCCATCTGTTAATACGTATAGTAACATCAAACTGAGCCTTGATCATGTTAAATTATTTACTTGAAATAAACAGAAAAGATAGAATTTGCTTTGTTATAAAAGGGGCTAAAGTAACACTTGTATGTAAATTATATGCCCTGAATTCATGCATCCTGTGGGAACTCAATAAAGAGTTATCAAATTGAAAAAAAACCTAAGGCCCTAAAGTAGTTTTATACAAATGTGTAGCAAAGAAAGATACAACACATCTAAATAATTCACTCAATATTCATATATAAAATTACACCAAAGTAAAGCATGTTTAATTTACATTTAAAGTTAATAAAGGACTTGGCTTCAGTATGTCTGTTTCCTAGGTTTGGAATTTTATGGCAAGCCTTTCCCATTGAAAGCCTTTTATTACTTCAGTATGCTTTGCTCTTTGGTTTTGCAGTGCTGGGGGTTGAATTTGGGGCCTCACACTTGTGCTGTACCACTGAGCCCCTTTCATTAGCGTCTAAATTACTCTGCATTGAGTACTGAATGTTTCTTAAGAAACTCAGCATACTTCCATATTGAGTAATCTGAGTTAACTAAGAGTTGTATACAGCTGGCAGAATGGCTTAAGTGGTACAGGGCCTGCCTAGCAAGTATGAAGCCCTGAGTTTGAAACCCAATACTACCAAAAAACAACAAAAAAAAACCCTAACTCCATACTTTTGCTGGGCGCTGGTGGCTCACGCCTATATAAATACTCAGTATCACACTTAAACTGTTCCAGAGACTTTTTCATGTGTCATTCACCAAGAATAAGTTCCCTTGATAACTCCTTCTTATTGTCAAGAGGTCTAATTTACACTAAGAAATTCATACCACTTTTTAAACTAGTTTCTTCTTGTTCTGATCATGTCACTCAATAATTATTTTCCTGCTATGTTCATTCCCAGGATAGTCAACAATTATTTACATATATTCACATATATTTATCTATCTAGCCATCTGCTCATCTATTTTATTTTGTGGTGCTGATAGAATCCAGGATCTCTCACATGCTAGGCAGGCAGCCTACCACTGAGCTACATCACCAACCCTGAGTATTTTTTTTAAAACATTTTAGGTGTGCCTCTGTTTCCTGACTCTAGTAATGCATAGAAAATGTGGAAAGTTCAAAAAAATAAAATAAAACTTGATTCTTTAATCTATCACCCAGAGATGACTAATGCTAATAATTTGTTGAATGTGCCAGTGTTTTCTCTATGTGTAACAAAATTGGAATATTTTAGATACAATCTCGATTGCTGACTGCTTTCTGCTACTGTAATGGCTACATAACATTTCTTTTATAGTTTATTCAGTTACCCTATTTTTGGCAGAAAGTTATTCAGTTTCTTATTATAAATGACAATGTATACAAATGTCTGAATTTCTCCTTTCCTTAAGAAAGGCATTGATTGGGGGCCTAAGGGGACAGCTCAGTGACAGAGCTTGCCTAGCGTGGAAGAGGCCCTGGGTTTGATTCCTAGCACCATACACACCGAAACACAGTCAGTTAGTGAATCAAAGTCTGTGGGTGTTTTAAAGTCTGTTAATATGTATCACCTAATTGCTTCTAGAAAGATCAGTGGATATATATGGACTATGTGCTTGTTCCTTTGCTAGGCAGTATGAGGAGATTTTAAATATAAATAAAAATAGGCAAGTAGAAAGTAAGATAAAGTGGGGCTTGCTCTCAAAGGTCTTTCCTTATGGGTGAGGTTGGTGCCACAAAGAAGAGCCCCTACAGAACACTGCAGTACTAAGTCATGATGCCATGGACAGCTGGGACTTGAACTTGACAATTCAGATTGTCAAGGAAGGCAGAGTACAGGGGTGGCACTTGAGCTGGCCTTGTAGGCGAGGCAGAGGAAAAGTACTTTAGCAGGAAGGAACAAGAATATACTCGGGTTTGCAAGTGAAGCTGAGCCTGCCACATAGGAATGGCCTGATGGGATGGCAGAGAAGGTGAGGGATGATCCCAGACTGCCATTACACCTGTGCTCCTGCCATTTCTTGAATTTTCTGCATTTTCACCTTGGTGGGCTTTCCTTCTGGCACAAGACATTCATTCTTCAAGGCCAAACTCATTTGTCAGATCTGTGAAATCTCCCCAGACTCAGTAAGATAGTCTTCTCTGTTCGGACTGTCTGTGGCACCTCAGCATAGGTGGTACCACTATGCTGACGGGCATGACATCCGCAGAGCAGGATGAGCTTTATTCCGGTGGCTGTCCCACAGCCTGGTAGGGCTCATAGTGAATGCTGGGTGAGATAACTGAGGGGCAACAGATGTGATAAAAGCAGCACTCCAACAAGGTCAATGAGACAGTAATATACGTGGTTAGGAGGAGGGTGAGAGAAACTAGAAGCGTGAGAGGTGAGCTGGAAGACCTCAGAGAGGAAGGAACAGGGCTTGACCCCTGTGTGTGGAAGGAGTCACATCTTAAAGCCTAGGTGATTAGAGGAGGAGAGCAACAGAAGCAGGAAAGGTAAAATTGTTGTGGGAGAAGAGGGGAGGCAATGAATTTGCTTGTGATTTGAGATGTTTATTCCAGAGAAAATGTTCACTAGTCCTGGAAAGTCAAGACTGATCTTAAAGTGAGAGGTGAGGCTAAGAATGTCAGTTCAGAATTATTGGCATGATTGTCGAAAATTTTGAGGGTGTTTGTTTGTTTGCTTCTTGAGATAGGGTCTTGCTATGTAGTCCAGGGTGGCCTCGAATTCAAAATCCTCCTGCTTTAGCCTCTTGAGTGCTGGGATTATAGGAGTGTACCACTATGCCTGGTCAAAACTGAGTTTTTAAAGTAGTGGGCCTGATCCCTGAGGATCATGCATAGAAAGTGGTGGATGAAAGAGTTAGCCAAGCATAGAAGTTGGTGAAGGGTTGCTTATTGAGAGAAGAGCTCAGAAAATTTTATACAGAGTCTATGAGAGGGGAAAGGGCTGAAGTCAGGGAGGATTCGGACTGAGGTCCCTGGAGACCAACAATAGGAGATTCTCCCAACTACTTCTGAGAGTAGCTCCCATTATCACTGAGGCCTTTCCTTTCTACCCTACAATCTCCCTTGAAGGGTCTGCACATCTCTGCCTTATTTCCTACCTGGTCTTCTGCTCTTTCAAAAAAGTCTCCATGTTGGCTTGTTTAGATTTTGTTTGTATGATGAGGTTAAAAAAAACCAAACTATTACCCTCTCCTTAGTGTAGTTCACATTTCTCCATTTATTTGTGGTTTCCTCCTGGGGATTGTTACACTTGTCCTTGCTCAATTTCAGTTTTGGTGTGAACCACATTGATAGGCAAAGTATCATTTTTATATGGGGAGAAATGTTTACATAGCAATGTAAAAATTTTTATTTTCAGAATTATTTGTTTCTATCTTCGAAATAACCTTGTTATATTTTATAGGATGAGAAAAATCAGTTAATGACAACGAATGTCTGGTTGAAACAGGTGTGTATAATATTCAAATGGCACCCAGCTAGTGGCTGGCACCACTGTTTCTTACAGGGATTGTAGCACAAAGGGGGTGTGAATAGTTCATGGTCCCAGTGAACTGACAGGATGCAGAAAGATTAGAGGGAGTTCTTGCATTCCTTGTGTGTGTGTGTGTGTGTGTGTGTGTGTGTGTGTGTCTGTGTGTGTTTAGCCAGGCTTTTGCTATGTAGACGTGCCTGAACTTGAACTGATGAGCCTCCTCCCTCTTTCTCTGGAGTGCTGGGATTATAGGTGTGTACCATCATGCCAGGCTTCAGTTATTATTTTTGGAGTGCATATTATGTGCTGGACACTGGGAAACTGCCATGAACAGAATGGGCAACAATCCCTGCCCTCAAGGACTTCATTCTAACTGGAGGAAGACGAACAGTTAAGTTGCCTAGTACTTTAGAGCTGGTCAGCTTGGAAGGCACATTGGGAAAGAGGAGAGGGAGTGCTGAGGACTGTGTTTATGAAGAGGGTGGTCAGAAAAAACACCACTGAGAAGGCAGTGTTTGAACCAAGCATTGGAGGAGAGGAAGTAAGCCAGGTGGGTGCCTGAGGAGAAGTGCTCCAGGCAGAGGGACTAGCAAGTGCAAAGGCCCTGAGGCTGGACTGTGTCCACAGTGTTTAAGGAGTAGCAAAGAGGTCAGTGTGGCTAGACCATGAGGAGAGGTGTGGAGATGGGGTCAGCCAAGCGAGGGGAGGCCAATAGAGTGCTGAGTCGTGGACCACTGCAGGGATTTGGGCCTTTACCCTAAGATGGGAATGGGCAGAACATCATTACTAATGACTATTTTATTAAATTATTAACACACAGCAAGTGTACAAATTAGCGGGATTCACTGCGGTATTTGCATACATGTGCACATCGTGCATCCATCGTGTGCTCCACCTTTCTACCCTCGCCACTTCTCGGCCCGTCACCCTTTCCAGCCCCTCATACTCCCTTCATACTGAGTCGTTTTTATGTACAGAGTCTCTTCTGTGTGAAGGCCACTGTACGTAGAGCTTCCCATGTCTGTTTCTCTTTATCTCTGATTTTTCAGACCTACTACCAGTTCTCTAACCCTAAACTCCTGAAAGACAGGTGTGCTTTTCTTGAGTTGTGACTCTGTAACATGATAGGATCATAGAATTGTTACTGCATAGAGGTTGGGCAAGGTGTTTAACTATGTAGAATCTGTAATAAATGCAATTCCCTTTGCAGTCCAGCCAAATCAGTTGACATTTAATCTGGAAAACAGAATGCTTCCCTTGAACCTTGAACTTGGGCTTTAGGGGCCCATGGCTTCAAGTCCTGAGTGTGGTCACTTGGGGAGAAGAGAAGCTGAGCAAGCCCTCAGTGCACCAGCCTGGGTCCTCACCTGTGTCCCATGAGGACATGGCTGAGCGGCTGCATGAGGGGATGGGTTTTCTCTATTGGGGATAGAGATGATTTTATGTCAAAAATTTCTTTGACAAAAAATATAGTTTTTACAGCTTTGACTATTATTTTGATTGAAATTGAGGCAGATTTCTTCATTTCAAAGGAATGGATAGATGCAAAATTAAGATGGAACCCTGATGACTATGGTGGAATAAAAGTTATCCGTGTCCCATCAGACTCTCTCTGGACCCCAGACATCGTTTTGTTTGATAAGTAAGTTATTTTCTAAATATAATTTTCTTATTTTCAAAAGAAAACATGTATTAATATTAGGCATTAGTAATTTTTTCCTCCATTTTGAAAACTGTTTGTCTATAAAATCAAATAACATTAAGTTCAGTGGATCTTCTTCCTTTCTTGACATTTTTTGATCATGAAGGTGTTCTGTGATTTCTGAAATTTGTGAAAGATTTGGGAAGCACATAAATTTGTAAGGAAGAAAGGGAAGTGAGAGGCAGCCACTGCTGTTAGCTCTCTCACACGGTGAGCTTATGTGTCCCTGGCAGTGTGCTAACAAGTGCCTCTGTGCCATCTGATTCTCACCATCGTACATGCTGGGTGTGATCACATCCATTTTACATATGAGAAGCCTAGGGTAGTTATGCTTGCTGTAAGATCAAACAGCTTGTATGTGGCAGGGGAGGCTTCACCCCAAGGCGGTGTGGCCTCCCCATTTACCCTCTCATTAACTAGACCACATATTTGGCAGACTTCCGGATTTGGGGGGATTTGTTTTTCAGTTGAGGTTATATTTTATGTCCAAATGTGCACCCTAATTCTGTGTAGACATTATAGTGCCATTTTCCTGTGATGCAGGAAGATGGGTTAATTATTAACCCATCTTTATTTGGAGGAGAAGATAACTCTTGAGTACCAGTTTCACTTTTTTCCTAGGGCCATTCCAGGAAAATATGGGAATTTGTGATTATACTAAAGTGCTGTCTTATTTGCATTCCTCACTTGGCATGAGGACAGAGTCAATGCTCTGCAGAAATGATCTTTTGAAACCTTTTACCTCCATGTTCCTCAACTCAATGTGGAAGGGTGAACAAAACTTCTGTGGTGCTATGATACAGCTCCAGCAGCAGCATCTTACTCTCAGTAAGATGACGACATTTGTACACAAACTCCTGTGCAAAAGACACATGAGTTGGAGATAAAGTACACTACTTTGAAGAAAGCCTATGCTGGGGTGCAGCCTCTGGCCGGGCTGCCCTGGTATAGGGGCTCAGCTGCAGGACAGACTGAGAGGCACTGCCATCTTTCAGGGCTGTGCCCAGCCTGGTGGGCGTGCTCTTTCCCCGTCAGATAGGACGTGCCTGATATTTTGGTGGAGGAGGAAGAGTGTACTGTGGGGAATCTTGGGGTGTGGATTCATGCACACTGGCTTTGTACATGTCCAGTGTATAATAGGCCGATTCTGTTCTGTGTGTAAAGTGAGGTCTTCTTCTTTGCCACTAAAATCTCAGGACTCTGAAAAATACACATTTTCATTCCCACAGTAGATATGGAAGAAGAGGTGCCATTCCACTAGAATCAGATGTCTAAGAAAGAGGTCCCTAGAGCAGGGTCCCCTGTGTGCAGTAGGCATTTCTGAAGGGTGGCAAATTAAAACTTACTTTCGTGTTGTTAATTGCAGGCTTTCTTTTATATTAGGCTTGTGAAATGCATGTCTGGGTTACTTAATTGCTGTATCACTAATGTACATATGTGTATATTGTAGTGCAGATGGACGTTTTGAAGGGGCCAGTACGAAAACAGTCGTCAGGTACAATGGCACTATCACCTGGACACAGCCGGCAAACTACAAAAGTTCCTGTACTATAGATGTCACGTTTTTCCCATTTGATCTCCAAAACTGTTCCATGAAGTTTGGCTCATGGACATACGATGGATCCCAGGTTGATATAATCCTAGAGGACCAAGATGTCGACAGGACAGATTTTTTTGATAATGGAGAATGGGAAATTGTGAGTGCAACAGGGAGCAAAGGGAACAGAAGTGACAGCTGCTGCTGGTACCCCTATGTCACCTACTCCTTTGTAATTAAGCGGCTGCCTCTCTTTTACACCTTGTTCCTGATTATACCTTGTATCGGGCTCTCATTTCTGACTGTAGTTGTCTTCCATCTCCCCTCAAACGAAGGTGAGAAGATCAGCCTGTGCACCTCAGTGCTTGTCTCGCTGACTGTCTTCCTGCTGGTTATTGAAGAGATCATCCCCTCATCTTCCAAAGTGATACCTCTGATTGGGGAGTACCTGGTGTTTACCATGATTTTTGTGACACTATCGATTATGGTGACTGTCTTTGCCATCAACATTCACCATCGTTCTTCCTCAACACACAATACCATGGCACCCTGGGTTCGCAAGGTGTTTCTTCACAAGCTTCCTAAGCTGCTTCGCATGAGAAGTCATGTAGATAGGTACTGCACTCAGAGGGAGGAAGATGAGCATGGCAGTGGACCAAAATCCAGAAATACGCTGGAGGCTGCACTGGACTCTATTCGGTATATCACAAGACATGTCATGAAGGAGAATGACGTCCGTGAGGTCTGTGACATGCATTTACAAATGCAGATCTGCTTCCATTCTAAGATAAGACATGACCACAGTCATTCTGCATGTCCCTTAAAACTAAGCATAAAATAAGGGCCAGAGCGCCAGGGGCCTTTCTATAAAACATCTTTGCTAAAATTTGTTTCTATCAAAAAACAAAACCTCTGCAAAATAGGGCACCTACACGAATCTTACCTGTTAACCCCAGCAGCATGATTTTTCTTTCTTTTTTTTTTTTTTTTGGTGGGACTGGGGTTTGAACTCAGGGTCTCACAGTTGCTAGGCAGGCGCTCTACTGCTTGAGCCATGCCACCAACCCATTTCTTGTTGGGTATTTTCAAGATAGGGTCTCACGAACTACTTGCCCAGGACTGGCTTCAAGCCGTGATCTTCCTGATCTCTGCCTCCTGAGTAGCTAGGATCACAGGTGTGAGCCACCATCGCCCAGCTTTGCTGCGGTTTTTGAGATGGGGTCTTGCTACGTTGCTCAGGCTGGCCTTGAACTCTTGGACTCAAGTGATCTTCCTGCCTTAGCCTTTCAAGTAGCTGTGCCCAGATTATTTCTAATTAACTTTTAAGGTTATGGACTTCTAGTTTCTATTTGATGGTAGTAAAATTAGTTTACAAGATCTGAAGCTATCAATGGAGTCTTGAAAAATACCGGTATTTGTTAGGTAATGATTAAGACTGAGATGGAGTTTAATAAATGGTGCAAAACATTGTGCAGAAGGGTCAGAGCTACACCACCAGGCCCAGGAAATGAATTTTATTTTCAGGGGGAAAACTTGGATGCAGTGCAGTAGTAGAGTGCTCACAGTCTCCTAAATTCTAAACTATCCTGCAACTCGGGGCCCAGGTGCCATAAGGACCCAGAGCTCAGGGTGAGGAAGCCCCTGAACAAGGAAGTGGCTGGTAGGCGGGGAGCCCCTGACACTCTGGGATTGGCAGCCCTTCCCCTTCCCTTCAGGACACTGGAGCTGGCAGCAGTTCCACCCTCAGTTCAGGTTAAGATGATTGCTAGGAAATTGAAAAATAAGATGAACGGCTTTTTTAATACGGGCTATTCTGAACCAACTTATAATTTGGCATAAAGTTAACCTCTGTCTCTCAAAATATTAAAAGAAGTAAATGCTACTTATTGGGCAAGAATAACTATTAGAAATAACTATATAGTAAGATGTTTTTAGTATAAAATATCCAAGTAGTACATTTTGTTAGAAGTCTGTTGAACCATTTGTAATATATCATAAGCTGATGTGTAAAACAACAAAATTTTGAGTTTTTTTTTTCCTTTTGGCAGTACTAGGGTTTGAACTCAGGGCCTCACGCTTGCAAGGCAGGCACTCTACCACTTGAGCTACTCCATCAACCTTTGAGGAGACTGGATTTGTTATAGACTGCCAGGGTAGTTCTGACCCTGAACTTTGAGCTCAGGGTCACTTTCTGTTTGGAGACAGAAAACAGTTGAGCCTCTAACTCAGCATGTTGTATTTTAAAATGTGTACAGAGTTTATATTTATATATTTAATGTTTTTATTTTATTTTCTGCAACAGGTTGTTGAAGACTGGAAATTCATAGCCCAAGTTCTTGATCGGATATTTCTGTGGACTTTTCTTCTGGTCTCCATTGTGGGATCTCTTGGGCTTTTTGTTCCTGTTATTTATAAATGGGCCAATATAGTAGTACCAGTCCACATGGGAAATACAAATAAATGAAGCTTCCTAAGAGTTGTGGTATGAATTTAGTTAGCAAACACACATCTCTTATGGCACTTATATGATTATGAAAATGTGAAATTGTGTTTAAGATTTGGTGCAAGCTGTAAAAGATTGAACAGTTGCTAACATTGGTTTATCTTAATATATTGTTCAATAGAACATCTAGCTGCATGACTGAAGTAATAACCAGAAATAGCAGCAAAACCTTTTCCTAACTGTACTATTGAAAATGTAATACTTATATCCTAGCAGAGTAATACTAATTTGCAATCACCAGTGATGTTCATCCTTTGAGTGCTGGAAAATCCAGTTGTATTTGGAGACAGATTTAAGAACTTCAGGATTTAGTAAAAGTATTTTTGGTTGTTGTTTTATTTTTGAGACCAGGTCTAGCCAAATTGCCCAGGCCAGCCTCAGACTTCTGGCTCAAGTGATCCTTCTATCTCAGTCTCCTGAATCCTTGCACTATACCTGTGTCCCATCTGACACATACTTTTTGAAACTCTTTTCATCCTGTATTCACTGAGTAACAGCTAATGTTTACTATGTTATTCTGCTATATTACGGAAGCTGACTACTCAGTACAGTAATGACTTAATGTGATGCTGGTGTTCTATTAGTAAATAGAAACGGTTTTAGTAAATGAAAAATGGGGATTAGAACGCCTTTAAGGCTTACTTTGTTCTTTAGATGCTTAAACTGAGTAGCTCTGTATTAACTATTTTTGTAGCCCACCTTTCATTGTAAAGTCAAACAACAGAAAACTCCTGGGACACATAATAGCATATCCTTAACATTAATTTCAGTCCCTCTGTCCACATTCCCCACAATTAATAGAGCCATCTGGATAAGGTGTGATAGCATCTCTTTACCCTTGATCTTAGAATAGTCTGCTGTAATTACATGAATCCCATTTTAAAAGCATGGTGACCGTTCTATGAGAAAAGCCATCTTCCAAATTTAAAGATAGTATTCTAACTTGGTATAAGCACACTTTACATACCTGCAATGTTTTAATTTTTGTCTTCCATCTCAAAAAAAATCAAATAATAGAACCTGAGCATTGAAAGGGCCTTTGGATGTAATCTAGTCTTAGCCTATCACTAGGTACAATATATAGCAGTCAGTACGGTGTAATGTATCACAGGCAAAGCAGTTAAATTTCATGTCTAAATGTCTGATTTACCTATAACTAGGAAGAAAACACTGATAGAAGCCTTGTATTCAATTTCAGATAATAAACACTTCATTTACTTACAGCTAGTAACCCATCTGAGTTCAAGTCAACTATCTTTGGAAGGCAGAGGGAAACCTTGTCTAATGTGCATTTTATTGTAGGCAGGTATTTAATGTCATTTAATGAGTGAATGTCTGTACTATAGTTTGGATAAATGTCTTCCAAAGACCCATGTGTTGCCAACCTGTTGGGATTTTTAGGAGGTGGTGGCACTTTTTTAGGAGTTCGAGCCTAAGGGCAGGGAATTGGGTACTTAGTTGGCCTTGAAAGGCACATGCACTCCAGCCCTTTGGCCTTTACTTTCAGCCACCATGAGGTAAACAGCTTTGCTCCACCACATGCACCCCGCCATGACGTTCTGCTTTACCACAGACCTAGTAGCAGTATGCCCAGAGACCATGGACTGAAAACTCTGAAACTGAGCCACAACAAACCTTTCTTCTTTTTACATTGATCATCTCAAGTATCTCAAAGTGACAGAAAGCCAATACACAAAATTTGCACCAAGAAGTGGGGCCTTTGCTGTGAGTACGATATGATGCAGAGCCTTTGGAATTGGTTGGTGGGAGGAATTTGGAAAAGTCTGGAGAAGCAGGCTAAAGAAAGACCGGAATGTTGTAAACAAAGCATAACGGATGAGTCTGGTGAGGACACAGAAGATCAGAATGCTGGTAGACATATGAACAGTAAGTGTTCTGCTCGGCAGGTGTCAGATGGAAATAGAGATTATTGGGGATTAGACTCAGGCCACTCATGTTATGTCAGGCAAAGAAACAGAATTCCTTTTGTCTATGCCCTGAGACTTTGTGGGAGGCTGAGCTCAAAGGTGATGACTAGTTTCTCTCCCAGAGGAAATTTTAAGGCAGCACAGAATTCACGCTATGGTTTGGGCACTGCTGGGTGCTTTTTGCCAGAGTTACAGTGAGCAAGCACAGCAGAAAGACTGAGACTGTTTTCAGTTCAGCCAGAAAAGGAGTGTATTTAAAGGTGCTGTAAGGAGATACCTTTGCTAAAAAGATTACCAAGTGCTTTGCACTGGGAGAGTAGGAAAGATGCCTTTGAGGACTCCTTAGGAATTGCAAGACCCTACCCGTGGCAGGTGGGGTTCCAAGGTGTAAAGGTACAAACTCATTTCAAAGACTTTCCTTTTAAAAAAGACCCTAAGGGTACCTATCTCACACAGGGCCTTCTAGGGAATCATTTCTCTGAAATTCCTCAGCCATATTCAGCCAATCAAGGCACTCAGAGGCTGTTTGAGTCCTGGTTCAAGTGGGCCCTGTACAGCTCAAGCTGGTGGCAGACCTTGGTGCTGTCCCCATGATGTTGGTTTTGCAAGCATGGAAAATACAAGAGTTAAGGAGTCTTTAAAGCATCCACTGAGACTTCAAAAGAAAGGTCTGGGAGGCCAGGCAATGTGTGGCAAAGTTGGAAACCCTGCCAGCAGCCCCTGAGAGGGTGATGTGTGAATCTGTGAGAGTGAAGCCAATGCTGCAGTGGAGACTGCAGGAAGTCAGAGATGCCAGGAACATGGACCACCTGCTGAGGGAAGCTGCATGCAGCAAGCAAAGCCAGCCCAAAATCGTGGCCGTGAGGGCTGCAGCCAGCAGGGCAGGGCTACCAAGCCCTTGGAATCCCACATTCTGCCACTGTGCCCCAGACGCCAGATGTGGAGATGTGTTTGATGTCTGCCCTGTTGGCTTTCAGTCCTTCCTTTCTAGGTCACCATTCCTCCCTTTCGGATCAGGAGTGTTTACCCTGTGCCATCGTATCTTGGATGTATGTAACTGTCTTTAAATTTTTACAAGGGCTCACAGCTGACTTGGACGTGAGTTTTGAAGGAGGTTTTGGACTCGGACTCCTGAGTGATTTTGGAAAGGACTTGGGGGACTCTTGGAAAAAGAACAAACTGCATTTTGCATTATGAGATGACAAGGGGTCAAGGGTAGAATGCTATAGTTTGGATAAGTGCCCCCAAGGCCCATATGGTAAAGGTTTGGTTGCCAGCCTATGGTGCTCTGGGGGAGGTGGTAGCAACTTTAGGAGGCAGGGCCTAGTGGAAGGAGGTTAGGTCACTTGGGATGTGCTCTTAAAAAAAGTCTAAGATTCCCCAGCCCCTTACCCTTCCTCTCTCTCTGCTTCCTGGCTGCTATGAGGTGAACAGTTTTGCTCTGCCGCATTCTTCTTGCCATAAGCAACAGGTCAAGTGACCATGGACTGCAACCTCTGAAAACATGAGCCAAAATAAACTTTTATTCTTTTAAGTTGATTACCTCAGGTATTTTGATACAGTGATGAACAGCTGGCTAAGAGTCTGGATTGGTGGAAGTTACTAGCTATGTTAGCTTGTGTTCATCCCTGATCTCGACTATCACCATTACTGTTATCTAAGACTTTGTGTAGCAATAAATTTTAAGGAGCCCTTCCTTTTGACTTACTGGAACATGCGTCACAGTGGGCTGCAGCTGTCAGTTTTTGTTTTTTGCATAGGAAAAACATGGCTAGTGATGTTAAAGTGCTCTCTGTGAATCATCTGTTAGTTGTCACTCAAAATCAGAATAGCCTAGGAAAGTCTTGATAATTTCTCTCAAGTAGTGCTTCTCAACCATTTCCAGTTGTCACAACTGGTGAGGGAGGGAGGGAGTATGTCATCAACACTAGTGGGCAGAGGCCACAGTGCTGCAAAGGTCCTGCACCCCACCCCCACACATAATTACATCATTACCAAGCACAAAACATTAATAGCACTAAGGTTGAGAAACCTGCTCTGAAGATTCATGGTATGATCTGAATCTGTGCCCCTACAATTCGTACCCAATGTCTAGATCGTATTAAAGGTGGGTCCTTGTGAGATGAGGGGGCCATGAGGTCACGCCCTCATAAACAGGATCAATTTCCTTATAAAAGAGACTGCAGAGCGAGAGCTAGCCCTTTCAGGCAGGTGAAGACACAACTGGAAGGAAGAGAGTCCTTACCAGACACTGCAGCTTGCTGGTGCCTCCATCTTGAATTCCCAGGCTCCTAACCTATGAGAAATAAATTTATCTGCTACCCAGTTTATGGTAACTTAGAGCAGCCAGAACAGACTGAGACAGTTCACTAATAATGAATGTGTGGCTGGGTATAATTTACCATGGCATGATAATTTAGGATTATGCAAGATAAGTAGCTGACATGGAGGAGTGAGTGGTCCTCAGACTCTTGCAAGACAGTAAAGAACAAGTGCACAGTAAGAAATGGTGGCAGTGGGACTTCTGCTGAGAGTGTAAATCTCTAAGAGATTATGGACAAGGTAAGAAAAGCCACTGGGAACTCTAGGGAGGCTGAACTAAGGGATTTTCATGTTTCGGAACAGGAATTTCTATCCAGTTAGGGTTCAGCCACTAAAAAGGGGGAACCATTTTGACAAGTGCCATAACCCAAACACACTACTTTTTTTTTTTGACATTTCTTTACCTTACCAAAAGGCTACCTAATGCTCATTTTTCCATAACATATTCTTAAGCCTTTTCTTGCATAATTTTTTTTTTGCCAAAACTCAAGATAACTAGAAAGTAAGCCTTGAAGTGCCAAAAACAAAGCTGGTAGCTTGATTACAGAAAGTGTGTGACACACAGAGTAAGCTACATGTCATCCCTGGACATCAAGGGTTGCAGGAACAATCCTGCTGTCCCTAAAATGCACACCAGGATGAAAACCCACAGAAAGATGCGGTCAATCACCATGGCGACATACTTCCAATCGTCTTGAATCTAAGAACAAAAGAAAGGAAAGGCAAAGTGAATACATTTTCAATATTGAATACTTCGTAGTAGAATTTTATCTCAAAATGCACAAGTTTTTTTTTTTCTAATTGATGTAGTCTGAGGAAATTTACCATTCTCAAGTTTTTCTTCATGCAGTAGAGAAATAGGTATAAAATGTGTCATGTTGGCTCTGTTTCAAATCTGATTTTTTTTTCTTTGAAACAGGGTCCCGCTGTATAGCTTAGGCTGGCCTTGAACTCATAGTCCTCCTGCCTCACTTTCCCAAGTGCTGGTATTCATAACCTATTTTTTCTAAACCGAATTCCAGTTTTGTAAAGTTTGTAAAACCAGTTACTTATGCTTCTGGGGAAGGATTTGGGGCCTGTGTTAGAATGGCCAATACAATCCAATGTCCTTAGCCATTGTTTCATAGTACTTGTTCATAGCCAGTTTTAGACACTAATTTCCTTTTAACATCTGTTCCAGAAATGAAATCAGCACATCAGCTTACCATCCTTTTCTTTCCCAGTGCTCGCCTCTAAGTTGTCCCCTAACGAAGTGTCATCTTCAATTGTACAGCCAAAAAGTATCATGGAATACTGCACAGTTATTGAAAAGGTTGAGCATCAGAAATAATTGCTGACAGTGAGGTAAAAGATGGAAGAAAAAGCAAGACTAAGAATTATACATAATACAGCTTCAATTTAGGCTTGAACCAAGAAGGAGAATTGTATGGAGATTAAGCTCCTAGACAATTCAGAGCAAAGAAAGCGTAATTCAATTGAGAGGGAAGGAACCCATGAATCAACTGATTTTGAAGCAATAATCACATAATAAAGAGGCAGCCTGCAATTTTGTAATTCAATTAAGTGTACCACAATGGGGCCAGGAGATGTGGATTTATTTCACCATTATAAACTTGAGTAAATGTGTTCTCTCAGTGACATTGAGAGGCATAGGTAAAGTTAGAATTGTGTGCCCCATTTGCCACAAGTTACTTCATTTGGATTCCTGAGACTTTGGTGTGTCAGTGCTTCAGATCCAGTACAGACTGACTCCTTCCCAGCCTAAGGCTCTAGGAGGCAGGGGAGTGGAAAAGCAGAGGCTTGAAGATAAATTTTGATTTGATCTGATTATAATTCCAGCTCTGCTTTCTAGTTGAAGACCACAGGGAAAATTCCATCTTCTCCCTCAGCCTCAATTTCCTCATCTGTAAAATGGGAATCAGAATGGTATTGTCTCACAGGCTTATTTTAGCACACAGTCCTTCATGGTACTTTTTAAATACTAATGTTGATTTTAAAAATGGCCCTTATCCCTGTATAAGTCTCCCTCTGGGGCTGGATGTGGTGGGACAGGCCTTTGGTACAGGCAGTACTGCGAAAGGAGCTGGGGGACAGAATTTTGTATCTAACGCAAATCATTTAATGCACAATGATACTGGCTTTTCTCTGGAAACTTCAGAACTAATAATGAGTCAGGTAGAAGAGTGCTGGCCCCCGTTCCTGGCTCCCTCACACAGCCCAGCCCCACAGCTGGCCCAGAAGCAACAGGAGACTCAAAGGCTCCCAGAAAGCAGGAAGAGGTGGCGATCTGGTTAGGGAGGTCTCCATGGAGGGGGGCTAAAGACCCTTGGAGTGGTGCTCTTTTGTCCCCTACGACATTAACGATTTAGTCTGCCCCACCCCGCTCCCAGCCCTGAGATGCAGGCTCAGGGGCCATGGGAACCAAGCCTGGCAGGAGGAAGAGCAGGGACCAGAAGGTGCCATTAATTGGGGGGAGGGAAGGGGAAAAGGGGGCGAGGCCTCCCTCCTCTCCTCCCACATCAAAGACTGAGTTCAAAAGGGAATGGAGAGCAGAGTCAGGTGGGAGATGGCCAGATGTCCCTTTAGGGACAGGATCACCTGACGGGGAGGCAGTACTCTTGAAGGGTGACCTAACCCAAGCTGTGGCCAGGTGGGTCCATAGTTTTATGGAGCAGAGTTTTGGCCCCTTCCCCAAACAATTCACTACAGAGGACTGAGGCTCCCAGGAAAGGGGAAATTCACAGGGCCTAGACACGCAAACCTAGCTATTTGAAAGAACATTCACAGAGCAGACAGGCCAAGGACTTAAAGATGCAATCCTTGAACACAAGAGAACACTGGAAACGTGACTGACAAAAGAACCAAGTTGGAAGGTGTGAAAAATAACAGGCACAACAGCTAAAAGAAAATTGTAACAAAGAACTCAAGAGAAGGACACCTGGTGGGGTAGCTCCAGCCCAGGAAAGAAGCAGAGAGGGGAGAAATGAGACCAAGGAACCACCCTGGGGAGCATCAGGAAGAGATGAGACCCACAACACTAGACAGTATGGTTTTTTTTTGGTGGCACTGGGGTTCGAACTCAGGGCCTTACACTTGCTAGGCAGCCAGTCTTACCACTTGAGCCATTCTACCAGCGATGGGTTTTTTAAGATAGGGTCTTGTGAACTATTTACCCAGGCTGGCTTTGAACTGAGATCTTCCTTATCTCTGCCTCCTGAGTAGCTAGGATTATAGGTATGAGCCTAGACAATATGTTCAGTGTTATTAGATTTGTCTACAAATATAAAATTCTAATGGCTTCTAGACAAATCAGTAACTCACACAGACATAAACACTCAGATTAGCTTACAACTTTCCAAAAGTGACACGAAGGCAAAATGACCAACCCGCAATGTTTTTTAAGTACATAAGGAAAGGAAGTCAAGACTAGTATTTTATATCCAGCTACACACATCCTTGAAAACGAAGGCACAATAAATTTAGCCTTCTTGGCCTGTGAAGCTTGCCTATAAACACTCTGAGATGGTGTGCCAATAAATCCAGGGGGATGCAATAAGATACAGGTAGAAAGTAAGTAAATGTAATGATGTTCATAGTAGGCTTTAAAAAATGAATGGCAAAGAAGACAAAGTACATCAAAAAAATCCAGAAGTAAAGTTCTAACACCCTGTGCTAAAGCACCCGTGTAGCCAAAGGCTGTGAGGACCAGTAGAGGGGAAGGAGAGTGGGTGCAAGGCAGGACACAGATGCTGAAAAGATGAAAAAAGGCTTTGAGTGTGGGCGTAAATTAGGAACAACCAACAGAAGATAAAACAGCACATGGCTTTCATGTGTTCTACTCAGGAAAAAAATCCAAACTCCCCAAGGAAACACAAGTAAATGGAAAACATTAGATCAGATGGTAAAAACTTAGCCCTGATGAAACAGTATTACAACACAAGTCAGCTGAAAAAATCATTGCTCAAAGGTCAGGTTCCGATGAGAATAAATGAACATATCAGCAAAGCAGAAAGCAAACTGTCTCAGTACAATAAAGTCAAGGCTGATCTATGCACATTTCCAAGACTACAGATGACAGAGTGATCAACTGTCAAAACTGCTGTCAGAGCCTGGAGTGGTGGCACAGCCTGTAATCCCAGCCCTTGGGAGGCTGAGGTAGGAAGACTGAGGTCAAGGTCAGCCTGGGCTACATAATGAGATTCTGTCTCAACAAACCAAAACCCAAACCTGCTGTCAACAAACAGCACTTGCATAGCACCACAGGCAAGCTCCCTAACAGTTTTCCAACTTGCTAACCCAATTCTCATCCTAACTCTGAGCTAGACCAGTAAGACCAAGTGTGAACATTTGCAGATTACAAGATAGAACAGCCAGGGCAGATGGGACACTGTGATGTTCACCTTAGGACCCAGTGAGCCAGCCAGCATTAAAGACGAAAATTCCTCACTCTAACTCAATCTAGTAGAGTTTATTTGAGCAAAACAACTTAAGGCCAAGCCAATTCGTTTTAAAGCAAAGACTTCTAAAATGATAGAGGGAGATCCTGGCAACCTGGGGGGCATCCAGAGGGTTGTGACATTCAGGACACCCACACACAACACAGTTTCGTGTAACACTTTCCAGTTCTTATACTTGACATTAGTTCTGGCATAAGATTTTTAGAGAAAACAGAAGTTCACTCAGTGTAAAAAGAGCAAAATAATATGGATATTTCACAAAAGAGATCCAAATGGCCAATAATCACGTTAGTCACTCAGAGGGAAATTCTAATTCAAACAGCAGCGGGTGACCCTTCACATGCATGGGGAGGATGAGAAGCACCCAGAACTCCTGTCCATTGCCGGGATGGGAGAGGGGGTGCCGACTGGTTTCCACCAAAGTCCCAAAGATCTAGCAATTCCTCTCCTGCATGTGTATCTCAGAGAAATAAAAGCAGATTTTCACCAAAGACACGGACAAGAATGGTTTTAGTGACTTTGCCCATAGCAGTCCCAAACTGGAAAAAACAATGTCTGACAATTGTAAAATAAATAAACAGAAGGCAGCATAGTCACACAGGGAATTTTTGTTTTTGTTTGTTTGAGACAGGGTCTCGCTACATAGCCCAGGCTGGCCTTGAACTCAGGATCCTCCTGCCTCAGTCTCCTGACTGCTGGCAGCACAGGTACATACCATCATGCCTAGCAATATTGAGGAGTATTACATACCAATAAAAAAGAAACAGCAGCAAGAATAAGCCTCAAAGACACCATGTGGAATGAAAGAAGTCAGATAGGAAAGTTGATACTATGTGATTCCACGTCCACGGAGTTCAAGAACAGGCAACGCTCAAATGTAAAAGAAGTGAGGGAGGAGCTGACTGGAAGGGGGCCTGCTGTGTAAAAATCCACTGAACCACACACTTAAGGACAGCACTTCATGTCATCTACACCTCAGTGGGAAAACACACAACTCCAAAGTAAAAATAAAACCACAAGCTCAGCTAGTAAATACCAGCTGGTCAGAATCCAGCTGATCTCACTTGCTGTCTCGTTCTTTTCTTTCCCCCTCCTCCCTCCCTTTCCTCCCTTCTTCCATTCCCTCCCTTCTCTTCCTTTTCCCTCCCTCCCTTTCTCCTCCCTTTCATCTGTTCTTCCTCTGCACTGTGGATTGAATTCAGTGCCTTTACCATGTGCTTTACAACTTAAGCCACACCCCCAGGTCTTTATGCTTTCAATTTGTTTTTCAGACAGGGTCTTGTACTTTTGCCAGACAGCCCTTAAACCACAATCCTCCTACTTCTGCCTCTTGAGTAGCTAGGATTACTGGTGTGCACCAACACACAGCTTAGAGTCTAATTTAGCCCCTATCCTATTCCTTGCTGCAGAAGGAACTCATAAATGTTTGTTGAATAAATGAACGAATATAATAGTAACCATATCAGCCAATGCCGGTGGCTCATGCCTGTTATCCTAGCTACTCAGGAGGCAGAGATCAGGAGGATTGTGGTTCAAAGCCAGCCCTTGCAAATAGTTCACAAGCCCCTATCTCAAAAGTACCCAGTCCAAAAGGGCTGGTGGAGTGGCTTTAGTTGTAGGCTCTGAGTTCAAAATCCAGTACTCCCACGACAACAACAACAAAAAAAAATCAAAGGAAAGTAACCATACCCTTACCTCTTTGGCTTCGTTCTGTGCTTTCATATTTTCAGCAATATACTTGACACTTTGGATGGCTTCTTTGATTTCCGGTGACAGAGCAGAAAGGGACAACCCAGCATCGACAGATTCTGAACTGGAGCTTCTCGTGAGGTTGGCACTGAAGTTTGAGATTTTTATCCTGCGGTGGTGGCAGTAACCACACATCCCGTCCTGGCAGGGGTAGCCTTCCTTGCAGCCTTTGGCGTCCGCGCGGCCGAAGCAATTCAGATTCGACAGCTCGGCACTGTAGCAGGGCCTCGGCTTTGGCGCGTCCCCCTCACTGCTGGCTGGCCTGGTCATGAACATGATCCTGGGTAACAGGTTCAAGAAGATGGTCTTCACCCACGTGGGCATGGTGTGCGTGGTCGGGGTTCTGTAGTGCACGTTGAGCACAAAGACCGTGATGACAATGGACAAGGTCACAAAAATCATGGTGAACAGGAGGTACTCCCCGATCAGAGGGATGACCAAGGAGGTGGACGGGATGGTCTCTGTGATCACCAGGAGAAACACGGTCAAGGACAGGAGAACAGAGATGCAGAGGGTCACCTTCTCGCCGCAGTCCGAGGGCAGGTAGAAGACCAGCACGGTAAGGAAGGAGATGAGCAGACACGGGATGATGAGGTTGATGGTGTAGAACAAAGGCAGGCGTCGGATGTACAGCGAGTACGTGATGTCCTGGTAAATCTCCACGCAACAGTTGTACTTGATGTCGTGTTTGTAGCCTGGTGCTTTGATGATGGCCCACTCGCCACTCTCCCAATAGTCTTTGAGGTTCATGGAGGAGCCGATCAGGACCAGGTCGATTTTTGCCTTGTCGTAGGACCAGGAGCCAAACTTCATGGTGCAGTTCTGGTAGTCGAATGGGAAGTAGGTCACGTCGATTTTGCACGAGCTCTTAAAGATGGCCGGAGGCATCCAAGTCACTTCCCCTGTGTATTTGAGCAAGGCTTTGGTCTTGTCATCGATCTGGAAATCTCCAACAGCACTGCAACGACACAGAGGACCACAGAACACGTGGTCGTCACCACCACGTCATCTAGCCCCACTTCTCAGGCTGCCAGCAGGTAAAAGGCAAGTAACGGTTTGTCAAGGTGCTGAATGAGAGCGAGAAGTGCCATGGTAGGTCACCTGGCTCACTGTCCCCTTTCCAACACACAATCTGCCATACCCCTCACCCCCGGGGGCACCAGCTCACCATACCATTTCCCATTCCCAAATGCCAGGAGAGGGTTCTACCCCATTAATTACATAAAAGGAGATAGAAATTGTCCTGGATGCAGGTGTTTGCACAGCTTTGGGGGATATCTGCTACCTGCTGTCACTGTGATCTGGACCTTGTGATCATCCTCTCATTCAGTCCCTACTGCATATGTGTGAAACAAGATGGTGGCGCTGGGAAGGGCTGCGCAGAGCACCCATGGGAGCCCTGATCGTGAAACTCACCTTGTCAGGTGGTTCAGGATCCCTGTCTCCAATCCTGATTCTGCCCTCCCCACTCCTCTCCACCCTCCCTTGCTTCCCCACTCTCCTCAAAGCTGATTGGTCCTCATAATAATGTCCCTCCCACTGAGAGCTCATATGTCCTGGACCAGTCCTACTGGATTTGTTAGCATTCGGGAGCCCTGGGAAGACAGAGGCCTCTCAGACAGGTTTCTATGGCATTCTGGATCCAAGTAAGGGACCTTCACAGCTCAGGTGTTGGCAAACTCTTCCATAAATACGTTATTGTTTGAGCAGAGCCACTCCCACTCGTTTTCTAGTGTGGGAGCTACTTTTGAGCTACAAGGGCAGAGCAAATGGCTAAAGTATTTCACTGGCTGACCCTCACAGAGTTTTCCCATCCCTATGCTAGTCCAACCCGTGTTTTACTAAAGAGGAAATTGAGGGTCAGAGGGATTTGCTCAGGTCCACGGACATTCTGTGGGCAGAACCTTGCCCATCCAGAACTTGGATCCCAAGTGAGAAGTCACCAACATGTGTGTGTGCCCAAAGGACAAATACGAGAGATGGGCCTACTTTGGCTGCTCTGCTCCTTCCTGCTGGTTTTCGGGGATTCCCCACTGTAATCACTGCCCACAAAAGGCCCTGGCTTTGTCTGCCAAGATCAGAAGGCCTATTTGCTAACCGGGACAGTGTCAACAGTCAATCTGTGTCTTAGGACACAGAAAATATGAGGAGCCAGCTGGGGACTGGGATCTGGGACAGCACCAGTCACAGAGGGCACGTGGTAAATATGTCTTGACTATTTCAGTCATGTCCAAAAGTGTAAATGAAGATCTCAGTCCCATAGGAAACCCAAGAGGTGAGTGACAGCAGAGGCAGGACAAGTCCGAGCCACCATAGTGCCAAAACACACGAGTCAGTTAAAAGAAAAGGCAGACTGAGTGCAAATGTTAGCTGAAGTTGTTCTAAGGAAAGAACGATGTGAAATGGCTGGGCGGGGAGACGGCTCAAACGCCAGCTCAGGGTTTGTTGTGGAGAAGTGGCTCTATGGAGGGGGTCCCCAGCAAGAGAGCTGGAGCCCCCAGCCGCTTACAGCCTGGGGGAAGAGAAAGAGGTGGGTGAAGTCCCAGGAAAGTCACTGGACGGGATAATCTTCAATGACCCGCTGACCTTCCCAAGGTAAGACTTCCCAGTGGGTCATGGCTTAAGGAGGCTGTCTATCTTCTTTAGGGCCAGATGGAGAGTTTTCAATAAGTCACCTTCAAGGGGGAGGGGTCCAGTTCCAACATAACAGAAGTGTCACTTTAATACAGAAGTTCAAGAACAGAGATGCATCGAGGTACGAGAATGATCAAGATGGAGGAGGTTTTGAAAATCTCTCCAAATTCCCTCAGATATGGTAGCAAAAGAACAAATCTCTACCAACCACAAAGTCAGGCTTCCCCAAACTCAGAATCTGAGGGTGCGGACTCAGGCCACCGTGGGACCTGAGGGACCCAGGTAGAGGGAGCCAAGAGAAATAAAAAGGGGTTCTCAGGTCCTGAGAGCTACAGATCCCAAAAGCTCCACGAGTGGTCGTTCCTCCCAAAAGAGACCCCCATGCTGCGATGAACCCTTGACAGGAGGACAGTGAAGTAGAGAGGCCCCACAGGTACTAATTTGGGGTGCAGATGAAAAAAACCTCTGGGAATCCACATGGGGTCTACAGTGAAGTCAGTCAGGCTGGGTGGCTCGTGAGGGTCTTAGAAACCTCTTCCCCAAACTCCCTTCCCAGAAGCTGCTTCTGGAAGAATCCAAATAGAACAGGGGAGAAAACAAAGCAATGAAAGAGTCAAGTTGAGAAAGAAGTAGTTGGTGTCCAGAGGAGACAGGTGGTCACAGAGGCTCCCTGGTGGCTGCCACGGAGGTCAGCTCCCATCTCCAGGTAACTGTCTGAGAAGGGAACTGAAAGCAAAAGGACCCACCCAGACCACTTCTGTCCCTTCCAGGGACCTGTCCTAAAAAGCATAGCAAAGGCAACCTACTTAAAGAAGAGCAACAGAACTCCACGCGAACATCTCAAAAGAAAACTACAACATGGAAAAGCTGTGTAACCCAGAAGCATGAAAATTACCAAGAGCCCGACATTACCAACAAAGCCACAGAAAACCAAGAAATCTTCAGAGACCAAAAGAACACATAAGTCAAAAACAGAAAAAGACAAAAAATAATTTGGCCAAATAACAAGAAGATGTTTCCTAAGTTCTAAGATAGGACTTAGGAGAGAATTAGGAAAAGGGAAGGAAAAAACCCATTTAACAAATAAAAAACTAGCCAGGCACCTGTAATCCTAGCTACTCTGGAGACAGAGATCAGGAGGATCACAGTTTGAGGATAGCCTGGAAAAATAATTTTCGAGACCTTATTTCCAAAATAACCAGAGCAAAGTGGACTGGAGGTGTGGCTGAAGCAATTTTCAGCAGCAGATCCTAAGAAAATTCCTTATACTGGACCCTTTCAAATCCAATTTGAAGTGTCAGATGAAACTACTTCTATATGAACCATTTTGCTGAAAAACATTTTTTGTTGTTGCTGTTCGCTTGTTTTGTTTTTTTAGTGATAGGCATTGAACCCAGGGCCTTGTGTGTCCTAAGCAAACGCTCTACCACTGAGCTACACTCCCAGCCCCCAAAATGGTTTTAATGGTTAAAACATTCTATGGCTAAACATAACCACAGGTGGAAAAGATGGTTATCAACACCTGGAAAACAAACCAGTATGTACTATTGGTGACATTTATGTTTGCCTAATGAAAGCTTAATTGAGAAGAGGTCAGGTTTGTGCTGGCATAGGGTGGAGAGGTAGGCTTGGAGGCATCACATAAGCAAAACCAGACTGGCAGAGGAGGAACCTTTGGAAGAGAGAAACAGGAGGTGTTTCCTGAAGATGAGTGCTTTGGGGCCAGAGGAGGCTCCAAGCCACCCACCCAGAGGGACTGCCCTGCTAGCAGCTTTCTGGACAGCCACCCAGACTGGCTGGGACTGTAACAGGCCCAGAAAGCTTGCCCTACTCTACACCTGCGAACTCCATTAGCTCATCGTTCAGGTTTCCCTGGGAGGGTGTCTGGAGGGGACATTTGAGCAGTGTGGCAGAGGCCTGCTGGCAGGTTTGCTGCTGGGGAGAGAGGAGGTCATGACCAGCAGGTGTCTGGCTGAGCTCCTATCACAGTGTCAGTCTCCTACCTACACTGCTCACAGCTGCCACAGAGGAACCGAGGCCACTCCAGGCCCGGCTCTGTCACACATCCACGGAATGAAGTCACCATCCACGAAGGGCCCCATTCACCACCTGTGAGATCTAAGGGTTGGCCCAGATCAGTGGTTCCTTAAACAGGCTGGCATCCTAGCCCCTGGGATCACTGGTGAAACACACTTCTGGGCCTACCCGATGCCCACTGACTCAGGGTTTCTGTGAGGCAGGTAGGAAATTTTGGAGTGATATAATTACACATGCATATATAGGGATGATTATAATATCATGCATATTAACTTTAGAAAGACAGTGAGGAAAAAAGAAGAAAATATTTTAAATGCAAGCATTTGTATTTTTCAAAAGCTCCTTAGTGTGCAACCAGCAGGCTGGTGACCTAAGACTCCCTGGGGCAGGCGCATTGCTGTGCCCCTCCCCCACACCCATGTCCTCTCTCAAAGAAGACGTTGAAAAGGGAGTCATCCCCTCCCACCCCTGTTTGTCTGCACAGAGCTGGGAACAGATGCTATATTTAAGACCCTCCCCCGACATCCAAGGCTCCCCAGCACATACTGGGACTGTCCCCTGAGTCTTGCAGCCTCATGTCCCACAGTGCAGCTAGTGAGGTCACTTTGGCTGCCTGTGACACCCTCTCTTGCCCCCCTGCTTCAGATGCTACGTGACCTTCAAAACCCACTGCAGTGCTGCTTCGGCAGGGTGAGCCACCCCTACCCTGTACCTTACTTGTTTTTTGTTTGTTTGTTTGTTTTTCTTTCTTTTTTATTGTGCTGGGTGGGGGTACACTGGAGTATTTACAAAAGTTCTTACAATGTATCAAATCTATCATACTTGAATTACTCCCTCCACTGCTCTCTTTCATCCCCCTCCCCCTGGCACCTTACTTGTTGTACAGCATAATGTCTGGCTTCCATATCTTCTCTGCGGGGACATGCATCAACTCCACCCCGTCATAGTCAGATGGGTTCCACTTCAGCTTGTAGTCATGCCAGATCTGGGGGGAGGAGGCAGGGAGGGAAAAGGAGACAGCAGAAGAACTAGGCTGGCTTCACTTTTCTCAATATTCCATCTTGGTGACTCCTCACCCCTGTCCTGGGTCACCAAGCCACATTTCCACAGAGCAGACCATGCTGGTCCAACTCCTCACATGGGGGGTGTCCAGGGAAACAGTGCAAGTCACCTCCTCTCCCTAGGGGAGCCCTCCCTCCACAATGGTGGAAGGACCAGAGAGGCACCAATGATTAGTGCTTTCTAGTCACCTCTAGTGCCAGGTCCATGCATTAAGCTTCTGCTATCTGTGTCACTTTGAAATGGCTCTCCAGGCTGGGTGTGGTGATGCACACCTCTAATCCCAGCACTTAGAAGGCTGAGGCAGGAGGATCATGAGTTTGAGGCCAGCCTGGTCTGTATACATAGCAGCACCTTATCTCAAAAAACAACAAAAGGGCTGGCAGAGTGGCTCAAGTGGCAGAGCGCCTGCCTAGCAAGCTCAAGGCCCTGAGTTCAAACCCCAGTACTGTCAAAAATACAAAACAAAACAAAAGCAAAATCGCTTGCCAGGGCCTTTTTCAGACAAGTCCCTGAGCAAGCCACAGTAAGAAGGTGCTTTCCAACTTTGAAGGTTCTGGAGGAGGGGCCATCGACCCACTGGGGCCCAAGGCATGTCTGGGTCCAGAGTACTGGGGGGAGAGAGGCGGGGGTATAGCCCCAGAGGGAAAAGTGTGTCTCTGAGTGTGGAGGCAGCAGGAGCTGGCCACTCAGCCAGCTGGGCTGGTAGAGGGTCGCCATTGGGGGGAAGCCTCCTCTTCCCCCGCCCCCTCCCACCCCCCAGAGGACTCATGGGAGCCAATTTCATTATCCTCAATCTGAGCAAGAACATGCAGAGCCCCTACTCCTGCTAACAATGCCACAGAATCCGGTTCTGACTTAAGGGTGAGGTTTTGGCAAGAGGAATGGGAAGAGGGGGCCTCAGGGCCACCAAGAGTTGGGGGCCAGAGCTCCAATCTCAGGCCTGTCTCATTTAGCAGTGTGACTGTGGAGGTCTCTCTCAAGGCTCTACAGGTCCGTTTGTGACTTGAGGGGTCAGGACCTTCTGTCCTTCCAGGTGGCCCGCCCCCTCTGCCCCCCCTTCCCAGTGGTGCAGTCTACAGGCCTCCTCCTTCTCTGACAGCAACTACAGCAGTTACCACCAGGGGGCAGCAGCGCATGGAGCCTGGTCACTTACTTGCTTGAGCCACAGGTTGGTCTCCATGATCTGGTTTACTTCATCCTAGAAAAAGAGATTGAAGTAGACAGGTGAATGACAAAAACAAGGTTGGTTCCGGGAGCTCAGCCCTCCCCACCAGCAGCCCTGTACCCCCAAGTCATGGCTCCCGTGGCTCCAGCACTCACCACCTTCACCAGCTGCGACATGGACACCTCAAACTGGATGATGACTGGGTCAGACACATTGGCCACAGGTCGGATGATCTCGTTGTAATCTTCAAACAGGTGATCAAACAGACGGTGCTCAGCCTCTGAGGTGCTGGCCACTGAGGGAGGCAGCCCTGTCAGTCCCTGAGGACTTGTTCCTCCCACCAGGCTTTCAGGCTAGTCCTAATCCCTCAAGTTACAGACTGGGATAGTGAGGCTCAAGAAGGATGTCACCAGATTACAGAGTCAGTGGTTAACAAGCCTGGGCTCTGAAGGTGGACAGATCTGGCATAAATCCTAACACATCACTGGGAGCTGTGTGAGTTTAGGATAGTAGCTTAACCTCTCTGAACCTCAGTTTCCTTATCTGTCAAAAAAAAAACATTATATGTGAACCCATGTGGCTTAAGAGGGTTGTTAGGAATGATGTGTTTGGCTCAGCAGCACACAGTAACAGCTGGAAAGCTATTAGTTATTCTTACCTTCGTTGTTACTACAGGTCAGGGTGTGTGCAAACGCTGCCTAAGTACAGGCACTCACTCACTCTTCCAAAAGGGAAAGGTGGCCAGTCCACCCACAGGGACAGGGTCCCCCTCTGCCTCCATCCGGCAGAAGATTGCAGCCTGGGCTTCAACTCCCCCTTCATCCCACCAGGATCCGGTAGAGGTCTGGCCACCAGTTTTCTTAGAAGTCAGGTCCCTGGTGGTTCCCATCATCTGAGTGTGACCCATGGGTCCTGCACATCCCACGGATGCTGTCTGACATCCGATGGAAGTCCCTCGCCCTGTGAGACCCTCGGGCACCCCGCTTTGTCCACAAGCCCCTCCTCAACATATGAGAGGCACCTTGACTCAGGGAGGGAAATCCTGGGGAAGTCGGACCCAATTCTTCAGGCCTTGAATTTGGAGGTCGCCTCTCCGTCCCAGCTGGGAGCTCGGCTCCTTAGAGACCCGGTTGAGGCCAGGCACGCGGAGAGAGAATGGGGACGAGAGGCAGGCGCGCCCCTGCGGGCCCAGTCCCGAAACCACTCCGTGTTCCCCAGATGGCCTCGCCCTTTCTGGCCACAGCTGCCTCATCTGTTCGTAAAACGAGGCGGCCTCGAGATGAAGACGCCAGAACCCCAGGCCACCAGTCCCTGAGGGTGGCCGGCAAGGTGGGGACTCGAACCCGTAACTGCTGCGCGGGGACAAAGGCCGGGTCCGGGCTCCTCCGAGCCTCTCAGGGAGGGCTGAGCCCACAGGGCAGAGGCAAAGCCCTCCGGGTCGCCCGTGCCGGGTCCCCATCTGGGTACCTCAACCCCCGACCCCGCTCCCCAACGCTCCTGCTGCGTCCGCACCCCAGGTACCGGACCTTGCTCCCTCGCCGAGCGTCCCCATGCTCGGTACCCCGGGGGCCAACCGTGCTCTCCTGCGCTGCGTCCCCATCCCGGGTACCGCGTCCCCGACCCCACTCCCCCGCGTTCGGTCCCCACCCCGGAACCCCGACCCTGCTCCTCCGCGGAGCGTCCCTATTCTAAGTACACCCGGGCCCCAACCACCCCGGGTACCGCGCCCCCAACTCCCCACGCTCCGTCCCCATGCTGGGTACCCCAGCCCCCTGCCCTGCTCCCCCGCGCTGCGTCCCCATCCCCAGTACCGGGGTCCCCGCGCCCGCGCGCTCGGTTCCCACCCGGGTACCCCTCCCCCTCCCCCGCGCTCCGTCCCCAGCCAGGGTACTGCGCCCCGGATTCCGCTCCCCAGTGCTCCGTGCCCACCCTTGGGTACCCCAGGAACCCCGCTTTCCTGCGCTGCGTCCCCACCCCCGGTGCCCGGGCCCGTCCCCCGCGCGGGGTCCCCTCTGCACCCGGGGCATCGTCCCTCTGGACCCCGCGCGCGGACCTGGCAGGAGCAGCAGGAACAGCAGCGGGAGCGGGCGGGCGCCCATGGCGTGCGGGCCCGGCTGGCGGGCGACAGCGGCGACCCTCGGAGAAGCCGAGCAGTCCCGAGCCGCGCAGCCCGCGGATCCCAAGCCGTGCGGAGGCGCGCGGGGCTCCTCCCGGCGTGGCGGGGGTGCGCGGAGCCCCCGGAGCGGGGCGTGGCGGGGCGCGCCCGGGAGGGGCGGGGCGGAGGCGGGAGGCGGCTCAGCCCTGCGCGGGGCGCGCGGGACCGCACCCCGAGTCCCCGTGCGCGGCCGCCTCGCCCTGTGCCCTGTGGCGCCCGCAGACCGCTCGGCGCCCGACCCGGTGCAAGCGGGCACTGTCACCTCTGCCAGGGCCGAATTCCTGTCCCTGGCGTCCGCAGGGGACTGGGGACCGCTAGGCTAGAAGGTCGCTGTGGAAGGACCTGTAGTGCACCCTCTAAAATAAGGGCTCCCGTGTTTTGTGCTAATTTTGGGGGGAGGTGTTACTGGGGGAGATTTGTTATAGTAATTTCTCTATTTTAGAATATGTTTGAACTGTTTCTTAATAAAAAGTGGAAGAAAAGAAAAGAGAAAGAACAGGGCTGGGGATAGAGCTCAGTGCTAGAGTGCTTGCCTAGCAGGCACCAGGCCCAGGGTTTGATCCATAGCACCGAAAAACATTGAAATACAAATAAAAAACGTGGCTTGAGGCACTAGGGACACCAAGCATCCCACACTGACTTTGTTCTCACAGCCACTTACAACCCTTGGTGTCCCAACAATGCGTACTGACCAGGTGGGGTGCCCTGGGGTCCCTTGGCCCTTTGATCACCCACCAGGGAAGGCAGGGCCACCAAAGGTTTCTCTGATGGCTCTTAAACACAGGCTCTGGTTATGGCCTGCAGAAAGTGAGTCATCTTTATTACTTCCAGAAGGGGTTGTTTATCCATAGTTAAAGCAAACCAGAGACATCTTGCAGGCACAAGAATTGGGGTCCACCTCTCAGCCCCCATTCTTATTCTCCTGGCCAAAGTCCCTTCGTTTGGAATATCTGGTAAATCCCATAGTCAGCAAAGGACTTGCATCCAGAACATATCAGAAGTCCCTGAAACTAAACAGTGGGACTAGTTGGCTGTGGGGAATCTTATTGGGGTGATGCATAAAACCAGATGATGGTGATAAATTCATTGAGTTGTATATTGTAGGTTGGATGAATTTTTAGGGTATAAAGCAATAAATTGCTTTTTTTTTTCCACAAAAAACTCAGATGTAAGAAAACTTACAACTCAATTTTTAAAATGAGGAACAGAGGTAAACACACCTCAAAGCAATCCCACACGTGAATGTGTACAGTAGCTCTGTTCGTGATTGCAAAAACCTGGAAACAGCCTGTGCTCCAGCACCCATGGCTCAGCGTGCAAGGGGATGCTATGCCCTTGTCCACACAGACGTTAGGCTGAGTGCAGCAAGTCAGACCACAAATGGCTTTTTTTTTTTTGGCAGTACTGGGGTATGAAATCAAGGCCTACACCTTGAGCCACTCCACCAGCCCTTTTTTATGATGGGATTTTTTGAGATAGGTTCTCATGAACTATTTGCCTGGGCTGGCTTCAAACCGCGATCCTCCTGATCTCTGCCTCCTGAGTAGCTGGGATTACAGGTGTCAGCCACTGGCATCCAGTGCAAATGGCATGTGTTTTGTGTGTGTGAGTGTCTACTGGGAATTTGAACTCGGGCTCTCTGCTTGCTAAGCAGGTGATCTACTTCGAGCCGTGCCTGTAGCAGCACAAATTCTCATTCTCAAAGACACTGAACTACAAGTGATGGACAAACACTAAAGGGTTGCCAGGGGCTAGGCATGGCAGAGATGGGACTGTAAAGGAATAGTGGGGGAGGGGCTGGAGTGACAGATCTCTCCTGTATTCTGGTGGTAGTGGTGATTACTCTGTTAACAGTCATAGAATTATACAGTACAGTCAATTTTATGTTTAATAACTCAAAAAATAGAATTCTTTAAAATGCTTTCCGTTCCTCAAATATTTCGCACACCCATGGTGGAGTAGGCACTGTGGAAAAGATCCTTTGTGGAGGAACTGGTCAGCCCATGTGACAGAGAAAGACCTGAAGTCCATGAACTTTGGAGTCCCGAGGAGAGCCCAGGGACAGCCGCTCAGAGAAGGGGCCATGTGAACTTGAAGGAGCAGTAGAAGCCATTCATTTATCAATCATTTATTTTGCACCTGCTGTGTGCAGAGCTCTGCCCCAGGTCCTGGAGCAACAGGCCCCTGCCCTCATGGAACACACACTCCAGTGGGTGAGGCAGAGATGACAAATGTGCCACCGAACTGCAGGTACTAAGGAAGATCGAGGAAGGTGGTGTGTAACAGGGTCACTGGGGAGACTGCTTTGGGTCTGAGTGATTAGGAAAGGCCTCTCTCAGGAGGCGACACTGGAGCAGATTACTGTGGGGGCAGAGCCCTGACTGATATGGCCAAGGGAAGAGCTTGGGAAGCGTGGGTGTGGGGAGAAGGTTTGGGTAGAGATACAGCAGATGCAAAGGCCCTGCGCTGGGAGGGACTGTGGGGAGGCCACGAGCCTTGTGGACAGAGGGAGTAGAAGGAGCCAGGGGTACGGAGGGGACAGGAATGCAGGCACAGTACCTGGGACAGAGCATGGAAAGAAGACAGCGGGCTTCCCCTGTCTAAGGTGCCTTTTGCTGGGGCTTCCTCCCAGGCATTCAGAGAGGACAGTGCAGGCCCTGCTCTTTGTTCCTCTTGTGCCTGTGGCTGGCTTGATGGGGGTTGGTCACCGACAGTCACTTATTTATTTAGGGCCTCATCAACTGTGGCCCAGAAGGAAGCAGCCCCTCGGCTGCTCACATCATCTCACCCCACAACTTGAGGGGGTCCCCTGGATGTTCCGGGAAGCCTACGGCCCCTGGGATGGTGTGTAGGTCTGGAAGAGGGGAGGTAGGAAGAGCCCCACGGTGCCCAGGACGCAAACAAACACAAAGACCCACAGGAACAGCCGGTCCACCACCATGGCTACGAACTTCCAGTCCTCAATAACCTGCAGGCAGACAGAGGTACTGGTTACAGGTGTTCAGCACTGAGGACCCCCTTTCCCCTGAGTCTTTCCCTTCTTTGCCCCTGGTCCCTGCCATCTGGCCATTGATCCCACATGCCACGTGTGGGCTTGGGACCATGCACTGGTGTGGCAAGTTCTGAGTCCCAGGCTGGCCTCAGCTCGACAACTCTGTGCCACCCTTGGCATCCACCAAATCCCACCCAACCTGCCGGCATTGCAGAGATACTGGGAATTTGGGCGTTTGTAGAAGTTAGGCATGCAGGGGGTCTTTAATCTAGTTGTTCCTCAGATCCCCCATGGCTACCCAAATCCAAGGATGCTCAAGTCCCTTAGAGGAAATGATGGGGTCTCAGTGGAAGAGTTCTTGCCTAACACACTCAAGGCCTTGGGTTCGATCCCCAGCACTGCAGAAATAAATAAATGGTATAAGGTTAGCATGTAACTATGTATATCTTCTACATTTCAGTCACAATGCTATGTAAATACTTACTATACTTTATTATTTAGGGAATAATAGCAAGAAAAAAGTCTGTACATGTTCAGTACAGGAGCAATTGTTTTCGTGGAATATTTTTGACTCACGGTTGGATCCATGGGTATAGAACCTGCAAATACAGAAGGCTGACTATACCACGCCCGTGATTTGAAAACCATATCTGGTTATAAATAAAGGGGATGAGATCTGAGGATCGCAGAGCCCTTTCCTGTTTTCACCCAAACCCTCTATCTGGGCTGCCTGTGCATAGAGGGAGGTTTGGAGCCACCTGCTACAGTGCAAGCTCACAGGACACCTGAACACACTGCTGTTTAATTTGTTTGATTCTGTTCACACCAGTGTCTGCCATTTTCTGGAATTAAGACTCAGCCTCCTCCCACCTTCTCATCTGTCTCTGCCTCTCTCTTGCTCTCTCTCTGTGTTTGTCTCTTGTCTTCTTAGACTCACTTTTGGGGTGTGATATTGGCAGAAACCTGGCTGGCCTCCAGAAGTGCCACCACAGATGTGCCTGCCTCCTTGGCCCTGGCGGTAGGGGGGCGCGAGGCCCAGAGAGAGATGCCGCAAGCCCCGAGCCCCATATCCCAGTCTCCCTCCCCCATCCCCTGGCCTGGAAGAGCTCTGAGGAAGCTCTGGAGCTGCAAATGCAGGCAGCTGACGTCAGTGACCCAATTTGGCAGGCCCCATCAATGGTGTGTGTCACCATCCAGGATAATCCTGGGTCAACCAGACTCCATTCCCCAGCCAAACACAACTGGCTCCTGTGCCTAAGACACAGTGGCATAGCCCAGTCCTCCAAAGCACTCCTTGGCTTTCTTTTTGACAGCCCTAACTTCAAGTGGCTTGTGTGTGTGTGTGTGTGTGTGTGTGTGTGTGTGTGTGTGCTATTATATTTCTGTACTATTTATAGAGACCATTTAATCACCTTGGAGGGTGAAAATGAGAAACACCACCTCCCCTAGAAGAGAAAACTGACTGTTCTCCAAATACACATGAGAAAGTCAATCAACCAACAAGTCCACCATGTGCTCAGTACACGGCAAGGCACTGGGAAGGGCCAGACAGTTTAAGGATGGCAGAAAGATCTGGGTATGGTTCCTGGCTTGGCCCTATGCCAGCTGTGTGACCCCAGGCAAGTCAGAGAACATCTGTGAGCCTCGCTTTCCTGTTGTAAAATGGGTGTTCTGGTGCAAGCCACTTCAAATGGTCCTCCAAATGCATGTCAGCTCCTGGCAGAGCACCTGACATGTGTTTGTAGCTTAATGAGCACTTGTGATTATTGTAATAGTGGGTCCTACCTGCTTCTTCTCTCTAGGGGCTTGTAATTAATTGTAGAAAGAACAGGATGCCTGTGAGTGCTAAAGGGGTGGCTAGGCCTTGAGAAGAGAGAGTTTAGAGTCAATGTCAGCTCAGCCAGGGCTGCAGGAGGCCAGCACCCCCTAACCTGGAATGTGCATGTTTTTTTTCTGTCGGTACTAGTTTTGAACTCAGGACCTCACACTTGCTAGGCAGGCATTCTACTACTCGAGCCATTCTGCCGGTGCTTTTTTGTGGGGGGTAAATTTTTTGAGATAGGGTCTTGCAAACTATTTGCCCAGGCTGGCTTCGAACCGCAATCCTCCTGATCTCTGCCTCCTGAGTAACTAGGATTACAGGCATGAGCCACTGGTATCGTGCCTGGCAGGGATCAAGTTTAAAATGCCAGCTCCTGGGTGCTTCCCCAGGAGATAGTGACTCAGTCAGAACAGGTGGCCTCAAAGCTACACTTATAAAGTTGCCTGAGTGGTTCTCATTTAGCTAGCAGGGCCCCCTGGCTGCACCTTCATGTTTGGGAGCCAGTGAATTAAACTAAAGAATAGCATGATCAAATCAATTGTTTTCAGAAGTTGAAATCCTATATCACTGTGCTTCTCAAACTGGATGGGGCCTGGCGAGCTCCTGGGATCTGCAGATTGGGGAGGGAAGCCTGGGGGAGGCCCCAGAGTCCCTATCTCTAGGCAGCCACTCTACCACTTGGACCAGGCCCTCAGCCCCTGGTGATGCTACTCCTTGTGGGTCCAAGGGGTGCACTCTGAGCACTGGAGCAGAATGCTTGCACCCTGGCCTCTGTGTGCAAGCCTTTCTCAGTTCCTTTGCACTGTGTAATTTTGGAGCTTTTCCAGCCTGCACTTTTCCATCTGTGCTAACTAACGGAATACCAGTGTTTTCCCTAGAGAGTGCAGCTAGTGCAAAGGAATTGCAGAAAGACAGGAAGCAGGAGACAGACGGCCTCTCTTATCCAAGTAGCTGCGAAGGGGGGAGACACTTGTGCCGTGAAAAGCTGTTCAGAGCGGAGTCTGACCTGCTGTGTGAACGTGAGAACAGTCAATTGTTCTGCCTGGTACAGAAACATGATCTTGTTCTGAGCCCTGTGTTCAGTTACTATTAGACGTGTTATGTTCAAAGGAGTCATTGGAGACACCCAAACTCTAGCACTCATTGCTTTGTCCTGTGAAAGTGAACTTAACCTTGTTTTAGAAAATTCTGTAACTCTAGTTACTTCACTTGATAATTTATTAGCCTGATAGTAATAATATTTTAATTGATGCTTCTATACTCCTGAAAGGTATAAATGCTGTGTGGCTTCTTTGCAAGTCTGCAGAGGATGGGAGCAGATGTCCCAAAATGTCCCTAGCCACCTGTGTCCCCTAAAGGCTGCAGAGTCATTTTGCAGTCCACCATCAGCCTCCCACTTTCAGACCCCTGTCTGCCTGCCTGCCTGCCTGTCTGTAGTTTCTCTCTTCTCTGCCCCAGGTCTTTCTCCAGCACCAAGATGGGTGGGAGGTGGCTCTGTGAAGATGGCACCACTGGAAGGTAATGTCCCAGGGTTACTGTCTACCCATGGGGGATGGGAGCTGGTGGGTAAATACTACAGCTTCCCTAGTGGGGAGAGAGGATGGCTCTGGGGCTAGTTCCCATGGAATCACAGAACAAGTTTGGGAGTGTGGGAAGTGGGACCCTGGTGTCGTTATCCAAGTTCCTTCCCTGGGCAAGTGGGGAGGGGATGGGCTGTTGACTTACACTCTGGTCCTGATCGTCACTCTTCATATGCTGGGCAATGAAGCTGACACCCTCTAAAGCTTCCTGCATGTCCTGTCTGAACCTCCCTGAGGACCTCTGCCGGAAATCTCTGGGGATCCCTGCTGTCGTAGTGTGGGAGCCAGCTGGAGACTTGGGAGCTGCAGGGGCCGGGTTCACAAAGTACATGGAGTTCCCGTAGAGGTTGGAGGGGCTGGCGGGGCCCACAACAGAGGTGGCAGTAGCCTCAGTCATGGTCAGGCGCAACTGACTGGGCTGGGGGACCCTTGTGGGGCTACCGTCAAGGCCAGGGCGCTTCATGAAGAGGAAGGTAGGCAGCTTGTGCAGGAAGCAGTGCTTGACCCAGGACGCCATGGTGTGGGTGCTGGGGGAGCGGTGGTGCACGTTGAGTACACACACGGTGGTGACGATGGAAAAGGTGACCAGCACCATAGTGAACAAGAGGTACTTGCCAATGAGTGGCACATCGAGGGAGGTGGGTGGCACAATCTTGGAGATGAGCAGCAGGAAGAAGGTGAGTGCCAGTAGCACAGAGATGCACAGTGTCATCTTCTCGCCGCAGTCAGATGGCAGGTAGAAGACGAGGATGGCCAGCGAGGTAATGAGCACACAGGGGATAATGATGTTGATGGTGTAGAAGAGTGGTTTGCGCTTGATGATGAAGTCATAGGTCACATCCACGTAGCTGGGGTCTTGCGGGTTGACCGTCTTTCGCCCCGGGAGGGCCACTATGTCCCACTCACCACTGGGAGTGAAGTCATCTATGCTGGCTGTGGGCGACATAAGGACCATGTCAATCTCTGTGTGATCGTAGGTCCAGGAGCGAAACTTGAGCGTGCAGTTCTGCTGGTCGAAGGGAAAGTGCTTCACCTCAATCTTGCAGGCACTCTTGTAGATGGCAGGGGGCACCCACTGAATGCTACCATTGGAGTGGACCACCACGTTGGTGTAGACAGACACCTCATAGGTCCCATCAGCGCTGGGGTGGGGGCAGAGCATTGAGGAACATCATGAAACCCATCTTGGCAACGGGTGGTAGAGACAACCCTGATCCAGTGACTGCAAGAGCTCACTCAAGCCACACAATAATCCAGTGAGGTAGGTTTTATTATTGCCTTCATTTTACAGGTGAGAAAACCAAGGCTCAGAGAAGTCAAGTGACTTCTTTGAGTTTGGAAAACTAGTAAGTAGCACAGAAGAGATTCAAACTCTGTCCCTCCCCTACATACTTTTTTATTTTTTGAGATGGGCGCTTATTATGGTCTCAAACTCCAGGATCAAGTGAGCCTCTGTCTTGGCCTCCTGAGTAGCTAGCACACGTGGCCTACCTAAGGTATTTGTGCACGGTAAGTCAGTGCTACCAGCACCCAACACTGACAAAGCAACTGAGGCTTAAAACACAGAACACAGGACAGGAAAAGAACTGTCTGGGGGTCAGACCTGCCCTGGTCCCAGCTGCCCTGGTCCCAGTTGTGCTGAGTGAGCCAGGCAAGGCATTTGCCCTCCTAAGCTCTGACTTCCCTGCTTCCTGGACTGAGGGCTCTGAGCATCTCTTTCTTTCCCGGATGATGAGGTGAAAGTCTGGGTGAAACACAAATGAGGCCCAGGTTGGATGTGGGCCTGGATGACCCCTAGAGGCTGGGCCTGCTGCCTTGGCCTGACCCTGGCCACTCCCACCACTCACTTGTTGTACAGCACGATGTCAGGCAGCCAGATGCGCTTGGCAGGGATCCGCAGGATGTTCACACCCTCATAGCGGGAGCTGTTCCAGGACAGCCGATAGTCAGTCCATTCCTGAGCACACAGCAAGGCCCTGTCACTTGTAGGTCCACCAAAGGGCAGCCCTAGAGGAACCAAATTCTGGGCTGGGGACCCTGCAGGGCACTTACCTGTTTCAGCCAGATGTTGGTGGTCATGATCTGTTCTCGCTCATTCTGGGGAAGGAAATGGGGCTATTAGTTTGCCAGGAAGGATGAAATTCTTTACTTTTGTGTGTGTGTGTGTGTGTGTGTGTGTGTGAGACTCGGATTTGAACTCAAGGACTTTGCACTTGCAAAGCAGGTGCTCTACCACTCAAACCACACCTCCAGTTCATTTTGCTCAGGTTATTTTGAACATGGGGGTCTCGTGAACTGTTTGCCCAGGCTGGCCTTGAACTGCAATCCTCCCAATCTCAGCCTCCCAAGGATTACAGGCGTGAGCCATTGTTGCTCAGCTCAAAATCCTTTATCTGGAAAAAGTCTCTGAGCTCCAGTTTCACGTGACCTGCTGCCACTCAACAGACTGGAAGGTATTTCACACCCAGCACATCAGAGACAAAACTCATGACCAAAGCTGGACCCCTTTGGTGTCACTTTCTCAGCGAATGGCACTCCTAGCCATCCAGGTCCATAAGCCAGAAACTTGTGAGCATCTCTGACATCCTGTCCTTTGATCCACAGATAAGTCCTGTCCATTGTATCTCCCACATGCATCTCAAATTTGACTGTCACTGTGATCCATCATGACTGCAACAGTGGCCTCCTCGCTAGCCTTCTGGGCCTGCTCTGAAGAACTCCACTGAGTTCATCTATTCTTCCCAGACCAGCCAGGGTGGCCCCTTTTGAATCTCACCTCCTTAGACTGTGCAACTTTCAAATCTTCCACTGCTTCCCCGGCTCATCCAAAGTAAAAGCCAAAGTCCTGCCGGGGCCTAACCAGCCCTGGTGACCCGCTCTGTCCCTGAGCCACACAGCCTGTATCTCAATGTGCCCTTGTTTGCTTGCTCCACCGCAGCTGCACTGCTCCTGCCTTTGCACACACTGTTCCCGCTCCCTGGAAACTCATTCATGCAGATGACTTCCTCGCTGCTTACAGGTATCAGAAATGTCACCTTTCAGAGAAGTCGTCCCCAACCTTCCCACATAAAATAGCATTCCCCTCCCTCCCCTCCCTTCCCTTCCCTTTCCCCTGCCTGCTTTGGTTTTGCTCACTGTACTTACCACCAGCGGACACCATCTATCTTTTTGTGAACTATCACCACTTCCCACAAGAATCAAAAGACCTTGAAACACCCAAAAGAGCAACTGAGATGCATCAGACACCTGATAAATATCTTCTGAATGAATACCTGGACTCTACTATTATAATCCAGGCAACCACCAACCATCCGTCACCTGGACCACTGCAAGACCTTCCTAACTGGTGTATGACCACGCGTTTCCTGCTGCGTCTCTATCAAGGTAACTTCCAGTGTCCTGATTTCAATGTGGTGGTCACTTCTTTGAGGAACTCAGCTAGGTTAGGTATGAGTAAGACAAAGTTTGGGTGCCAGGAATAGAATAAGTAACACAGACTTAAAGTAGAAATCTATGTCCTTTTCTTGCAACATTTTGGATGCATAAGGAGGTCCAGGTCTAGAAATTCAGCAGGTACTCAGGTCCTTCCAGCTTTCTTCTCTGTCACACCCAGAGTGTGGTCTTTATCTGTGTGGTCCAAGATGGCTATTGGAGTTCCAGATACAATACCCACATTCCAGGCTTGTGGAAGTGAGAGAACAGGAGGAAGAAGAGGAATGCATGCCAATTGTCTCCTTTTGATTAAAATATTTAGGTCATTTACATTTAATATAGCCACTGATGCATAGAAGGTCCCCAACTTATCATGGTTCAACTTACGATTTTTTTTAACTGTATGGTGGGTTTATCAACATTATAAATACATTTTTGACTTTAATATCTTCAGAACATAACACCATCTCAAGTTGAGGACCTCTATCATCTATTTTATTTTCTAATTATTCTCTTTTCTTGAATTTTGGGGATTATTTTATTATTCCATTCTCTCTCATATTGACATGACTCTTCCTTTAGTAGATCCTCTATGCACCATAATATACATACTTGACTTTGTAGAATCTAGTATAAATTAATACTTTTATCATGTCAATAACAAGGCAAGGACTGGGAGCATTTCAACTCGATCTACTGCCTCCTGATTTGGGGGTTATTGCTGTTACATATTGAATTCTACCTATGGTTAAAAGCTTGCAAGATGTTTTTATTGTCTTATAGTGTCAATTATCAACTTAAATTCTCCCATCTGTTTAGTCTTTTTGTTGTGCTTAATTCTTTCTCAACCTGGGATCATTTTCCTAATGGTTAAAGAATCTTTTAGCATTTCCTTTGGGTATTAAATTATCTATTTTTTAAATCTAAAAACATTTTTATTTTTTCTTCATATCTGCAGTGCAGCCTTGTGCTTGCTAGGCAGGCACACTACCCACTCAGACCACACCTCTGGCCCTTTCTGCTTTAGGTATTTTTCAACTAGGGGCTCACATTTATGCTCAGGCCAGTCTGGACCTTGACCCTCCTATTTACACTTCCATGTAGCTGAGCTGACAGGTGCACGCCGCCACACCAGCTTTTCATTGGTTGAGGTAGGGTCTCATGAACTTTTTGTCCCAGCTGGCCTTGAACCTGGATCCTTCCAATCTCTGCCTCCTGAGTAGCAAGGATTAGACATGAGCCACCACTCCTGTCTTCACCTTCATTTCTAAAAGATATCTTCAAAAATCCTTGTCTAATTCCAGGTTTGGGGTTTTTTTCCTATAGCACCTTTAAAATATTCAAATTTCTGATTTTCATTTTTCAGCTGTTAGTTTTATTGTGCTTTTTGAGAGTTCATTTGATGGTACTGGGGGTTTCAACTCAGGGCCTTGCACTTGACAGGCAAGCACTTTACCATTTCAGCCACACATCCATCCATTTTTTATTTAGGTTATTTTTTAGATAGGCTTTTGCTTTTTATCTGGAGTTGGTCTTAGACCCCAATCTTCCTACCTAAGCCCCCTGCATAGCTGAAATTACAAATGGGTACCACCAAGTCTGGCTTGTTTGTTGAGATGGAGGTCTTGCTAACTTTTTGCCTGAGTTGGTCTCAAACCTTGATCCTGTATTTTGGCCTCTGAAGTGGCTGGGATTATAGACATCAGCTACCATACCTCTTGTTTTTTCTGACTTTTTTTCTTTTTCTTGATGGTCTTAAGATTTTCTCTTTGTTTTTGGTTGTCAGAAGTTTGGGTATGACATTCCTTCGTTCCTTCCTTCCTTCCTTCCTTCCTTCCTTCCTTCCTTCCTTCCTCCTCCCTCCCTCCCTCCCTCCCTTCCTCCCTTCTTTCTTTCCAGGAGTTTGCACCACCCACCTAGATTATTTGTTGAGATGGAGTCTTGCTAACTTTTTTGCTTGGACTGGCCTCAAATCTCAATCCTTCTGATCTCTGCCTCCTGCATAGTTGGGATTACAGATGTGAGCCACCAAACCCAGCCTGATTTCTTTGTATTTGTGTGTCATAGGGTTCATAGAGCCTCGTGACTCTGTGACTTCATATCCTTGTTCAGTTTTGGAAGATTCACAGCCCATATCACTTCAAATATTGATTCCGTTTCCTTTATCTCCAAATATACTTTTTTTAAAAAAAAAAAAAGCACACACCATATTATACTCTGTTCCATATTTTGCATCCTCTTTTCTCTACAGAGTGTCTCTTGATCTCTCTTCCAGTTCCCTGCTATGACCAGTCTGCTATTAAGCCCATCCAATGAATTTTTTCCAATGAGTTTTAAATTTAAAATTTTGAATGTTTCCAGTTCTGGAATTTACCATTGATTCTTTCTCACAATTACTGGTCACTGGAGGGATTCTCTACCATAATTTTCATGAACATATTAATACAGTTATTTCATTTTTAAGAAAAATTTTTGTTTATTTGAACTTAACGTAAAGTTTACCATCTTAATGACAATTATTTTATTTACTAATCTTTTTGGTGCTAGGGATTGAACCCAGGGCCATGAAGATACCAGGCAAGCTCTACCACTGAGCTACACCTCCAGTCCTGTGATCGTTAAAGTCTATGCCTGATAACTCCAATATTTTGATCATCTGTGTGCCTGTTTCTGTTGCCTTTTTTTTCTCTTATTTTGTCTTGTCTTGTGGCATGCATGTCCTGTAAGTTTTTATCTGATTTTCTCCAGCTCCAGAGAGTGTTTACTGTGGCTTTGTGGCAGGAAGTTAGAGCAGGGATGTATCCTTTCTCTAGTCTAGGACTGAGCTGGCTCAAAGCAGATTCTAATGTTCGTGAATGTTCATCTGCTTTTACTCATGTTTAAAATTTAAAGGTGGCCTTTCCAAGGTCCCCACCAAGGTGTCAGCTCATTACTGAGACTGAAGCCCCTGTTGGGTTCCATTTCAGCCCTGTGAAAATGCCAAATGTTCTATAGGCTTCCCAGCCTCTTAGCTACCACTCTGTGCCCAATTTCTCAGCTCACATTCTGGATTCTGAATAAAACCTCTGGCTGAGGTTTTATTTTTTCCTTTTGTTGTTTATTTATTTATTTTTGTTCAGTGCTACCTAATTGTTCTCCTAGAAAGGCCAATCTCCAACATGCAACTCTGCCATCACTGAAAGTTGAAAACCTTTATCTGTCTTTAAATTTTGTCAAGTTGAGCTACAGTTTACAGTGAAATGCACAGGTCTTAACTGTACTGTTTGATCAAGTTTAACAACTGCATTGACCAGGTAACCCACCTCTTTTCAACATATAGAACATTTCTAGAAAGTTCTCTTGTGCCTTAGTCCTGCCACCCCACCCCACCTGCCGAATGTGCGGAGGCCACAGATACAGGGCCTTGCTCCTCACTCCTCAAGGGGCTGCTTAGAGAGGCCGGCTTGTCTCACATAGCACAAACTCCTTGCCTGTTCTCTAGACACTTCTATTTTAAACTGGTTATGCCACAACTCTCTATCTTCCAAAAAATATAAATTCTGAAAACCAGAAAGAACCCCACCCCCTTAGAACTGAGTGTTTCCTTTATACACGAGTTGAGGCAGGTTAGGTTAGGGAGAGTCTGGGACTGCCCTCCCTCTTGGCTCAAGGGCTCGTCCCCTAGC